AGGCAAAGGGAGTGAGGAAAGGAATTCCAGAGCCTCGGGTCATAGTGGCTGAAGCCCCGGCCGCCGAGGGTGGAGCGGAGGGGGGACGAGGAGGAGGCCAGACCCGGAGGAACGAAGGCAATGGGTACTTTTTTGAGGAGAGAGGAGGTCAGAGAGGTAGGGGGGTGCAGACGAATGGAGGGATTTGAATACAAGGGTGAAGATCTTGAAATTGATCCTCTCTGGGATAGGCAGCCAGTGCAGTCTGGCAAGGACTGGGGTGATCGGGGAGCGGTGTTTGGTGCGGGTGAGAACGCGGGCGGCAGAGTTTTGTATAATCTGGATTTTATGGATGGTAGTGAAGGGGAGGCCGGCGAGGAGGACGTTAGAATAGTCCAGCCGAGAGGTGAGAAAGGCATGGACTAGGGTTTCAGTGGCTTTCGGAGAGAGCTGTTGGCGGAGGCGGGCGATGCTTCAGAGGTGGAAAATTGCATGCAAGGTAATGAGGAAGCGCTATCCAAGGGTTCGGAGGTCAATTTTGGATACAATTCTTTAATCTAGCAAGAAATAATCTGATTCCTTCCAGATGTCCCCAATGCATTTCTTGGATACATAGGTTAATTACTGAAGAGTTAGAGTTTTTTGCCCATAGAAAGATAAATCCTGGGAAGCTGCCATCAAGGCTAGGTAAAATGTTTAATTGTCTGAACATAGAGACCATCTGCAGACTGTTTCTCCCAAGTTCTTCCTGGCAGTGTGTTCTTTCCACCTCGTGGATTTGGGAAAGCTTTCAGTTCGCTTGAGGTTTGCTATATTATATATCATACACAAGCTATTTGTATTCATCTTGGCACTACAGCATTTACTTTCTATCCAGAAGAATCTGGAAGAATAAGACTTTAAAACACAACTGAAAAAACAATTAACAAAAGCTTTAAAAACATGATTAAAATGAAGGAACATCACTTTTTAATGATTTTGCTTCCCCAATGTGATCAGAAATGACTTCTGCCTATGGATTTATATAAATTAGCACTTCTCCATCCCTGCTCCAGAATGATGGCATATGGCTAGCATCCAAACACCAACTTATATTTATATAGTGCCCTTCACGCATAATAGAGTATGGAGCATTGAACAGTGGCGGGGTTTGACACAAGCGAGGGAGAAGGGGGAGATGACCATAGGCGCGATCGAAGAGGTAGGTCTTAAGGTGGGATTTAAAGATAGGTAAAGAGAGGTGAGGTGGAGGGACAAACAGTATCTAACTTTGTTTTAGGGTGGCAAAGATTAAACTATTGAGAAGGCTGTTACAGTATTGGAAGGACGGACATTGAAATCCTCAATCAAAACATATAGTCTGTTTACAGCTTAGTGATTTGATCTCTGAACATGTTGTTGAAAAAGAGAAATTCTAGTAACAAAATAGTTCCAGGGGGCATTTAGCATGACGGAGACAAAAGGCCAAATGGTCTCCTTCTGTGCTGAAATTTCTATGATTACAAGTCAAAAACCTTTTAGTAATAATTTAAGCAGGCAGGCCAAGATAGCAGTATGGTGCAATTGGCTACATTCAAGAATTACATCACAACCTTTCAGCAGCAGCACTATAGCTCATTACATACTGTTCTTAGTAAGAAGACATGCTTGATCTCATGCTGACATCTTTAACATATGGGGTCTAATTTGCAACATTACTTAAAAAGGAATTTCCCTAGAATCCTTATCAACTGTGGGAAATCCACTCCAGATGTAGAGTTTTGTGTTGTTAAGTGGGTATATTAGAATCTATTGATCGCTGTTGAATAAATTGATTAACTCTTGCTTGCATCAAATACAAGCGTTGAAACCTGTAAAGTTTACGCACTCCCATGAGAAAACTCCAGGCTTAAATTAAAACAATACCTCTTGCATTTGATATAGCATTTTTCATGATGCGATGCCGTCTCAAAGCAATTCACAATATTTACTGTAACATGTAGTTACTGTGCATAAAGCAGTGCCCTGCAAACCACCATGAAGTGAATGACCAATTTTATTTGGAGGATTGTTGGGCAGGACACCAAAGGAAATTCCCTCTCTTTTCAAATAGTGCCATGGGATCTTTGACATCCAGCTGATCAGGCAAACAAGATCTTGGTTTAACGTTTCTTTTGAAGGACAGCACCTCTGACAATACAGCACTCTGTATTGGAATATCAGCCTAGACTGCGAGTTCAAAGTGAGATGCACTAACAACTGAGCCAGGCTTAAATATGCACTGTTGAAATTTCATATCGCTTACCTCAAGTATAATAATAAAAAGGCCAATACATCTTTCTTGGATCTCTTCCTGGATCCTGAACATAACCTCTCTACTGAACAGAATTCAGGGTAAGAATATTATTATTATTATTATTATTATTATTATTATAAGAAGCCCAATTGCTTAGAAACAAGATTAAATAGGATTTGTGTGTCCAACTATGGTGCGAGAGATTATTCTATACAAAGGACACTATATGAATGCAAGTTGTTCTGGTCTCTAATGTTCTTTGGCACTTGGCTCCGCTACCCATTTCAAGCAATGTAACTTGTGTTGGAGTACGTTCTTTTGGTAATGGGTTGCTCTGAGCTATTCACATTATTCCGTCCAAAGAAATGCTGTCTGAGTATAAGTATCAAAGCACTTCAGCCCAATTCTAGTGCAATTCTAAAGCCATACTAACTCCATCAGAGTGGAACTATGCACATCTTAACAAAAGAATGTCAATTTAGAAAAAGAGACATAATAGTTATCACAGGCCTTATGTAGAGATAGGCACATGCCACTTATTACAGTTACTCTGCACTGTTGTTCTCTTTTAATAACAACCTCGGATCGATTTTGTCTTAATATCCAGGAAGAATTATTTCATAACTTTGAACACCCATGGAGCAGACTTTTCACTTTGTCACAGCTGATTTAATTAAAATATACATTGTATCTAACCACCAAAGCTGTCCAAATTTGGCTAATGACAAATTTATTGTAAGACTTCCCATCATAACACGCTGTACATTACAAAAGTTTTTTATCCAAATTACATTTTGTTAGCTAATCCACTACAGCATAAACAATACAACCTGAAAAATACTTAGCTCCTGAGTATCCTGGAATATGAAGTTTTAAATTCCAGTTGTTAAATTGAGTATATTTTCTAAACTAAATATCAAAAGATCAGCTCAAAGGAGAAGGCCTTCCCAGCAATTTGACCTCATCCTTTCAGAATATTCTATCTACTGTCCTCCCATCAGAGCATCATACAAGGTGGTCCTGCTATCTAGAGCTTTCTGAGATTTAACTGCTCTTCATTTAGTTGTCCAGTGCCTTGGGACGTCCTCCTGACGTGAAAGACGCTATACAAATGTAATTTGTTGTTTCCTCTCTTTTTTGAACATTTTTATTTCTTAACTCCATTTTATTTTATTTCTCATCTCTTCCTGATGGTCAACAGGCCCGAATTTCTTATCTACCACATAATTTCCCCGCTCTTTTCCTAACCTATCTATCATGTTAATTAGCTGGTTCATTCTTCCACACTCCCAGATGTTACAGGGAGCAACCCAGATACCACCACTTTTTTCTTTAAAACTGGTCACCAACACCATGCATTTCTTTACCTACTCAGATTTTCTGGCAATATCATTTTCATTTGTCCCCAGATGTAAAACAACAACCTGGATTTACTCTATTCCACCCTCCTCCCCATTATCTCATCTGTCGTTACTTTTATATTCCTCAAAATTTTGAGATACGATTCAGGTTTTCATAATAATAGTAGAAATCCTCACATTTGGTATTGCGCCTTATCACCTCTTCGAGACTTCTCAAAGCACTTCACAGAATATACCGTAGAGTGAACTGACTGCATAGTTTGTTGACGAAATGAAGCAGGCAATCGTGCACAGCAGTGTCCCACAAACAGTTGTAGATCGAGTGATCAAATTATTATTTATTTCAATTTTTAAAAAAATGTTGAAGGGATTATTACGCCCGGAAAAGCGATCCGCCAATCGACTAACAACCGGTTTCCTACTTCAATGCTAGGTAAACAGAAGCATGTGGAGTAAGGAATCTTGCCTAACGTTTCGCCCTGCCTGGGAATCAAACCCAGGTCCTCTCGCTTGAGAGGTGAATGCTCTAACCACTGAGCTACAGGACTCCACGTTGATTTAACTTGTAAAATTAAGTAATTATTCAAGTATCTATTATTATTATTTTTTTTTTTAAAAAGCCTCGTCAATTAAATCTGTCATTAAAAATGGATCAGAGGGAATCAACTGTAGCAGGACATTGCTTTACCAGGAAAATGTTCAGTACAAAACAGCATTCAAGGTAATCCCCAAAAACAACAAAAGCAATCTGGAATCTATGAAGTTACTGGCACTGCAAGTGTGGAAAATTTTACATTACTCATCTGGAGCAAATTAAAATATTTGGATCAGAATGGTGAACAGTTGACAAGCAAAATGCAAACTTGCTTATGAATGGATTTTGTTGTTGTTATGCCACCTATTTAAAGTAGGGTGCAGCAGACAAAACTGCAACAAAAACAGCTGTCTAGTAAATGTAATCTTTGTTGCTGCTGGATGTTTATCCAGAGATCATTTATGATAGTAAAGATATTTATTCCCTAGGCACAGTGCAGTTTGTCAACCCCATGACGAAAGTGGGCAAAGGATCTGCGGATTATCTTTCAATCTGAGTATGGGCTACATGTAGAAATGGAAAGCATAGGGATGTTTTAAAACAATCTGTACTGGCTATTTAATTAAAACCAGTTATTTGACTAGAAGACCATTTTGTTTAATTGTTAAAACTGGATATATTAAAATTGATCTACCACAGCCTCCCTTTCCAATGTAGTTTGAATGAAACTCAATCGCTGTTTTTTTGTTTTGTGCCAGCAGTTTATCTCCCTATTAAGTGTAAACCATCCTTTACAAATTAGACGTGAACTTATTGTCATAAGAATATAATTCCTGTAAGCTTTGCTTACCCTGGTTGAGTGTCATTAGTTACGCAATGATATGTGAATGTTCCAAACATCTGTACTCCCAAAATTCCATACAATAGTAGAAAGAAGAGGAGGAAAATGGACACACTCCAGATTTGTTCTCCTGAACGCCTGTAGCACAAAAAGGGGGACAAGGTATAAATAGTGTAATTTCAATTAGTTGCATCCTATTATACGCAATGAAAAGGCATTTCATCTTACTTCAAAATGTTTGTAATCCTTGAGCGCGGAAGATCAAAGCGAAAGTAAATTCGAAATGCTCGAATCATAATGAGTGGCCTCGGGATTCGAAGCATGCTCAAAGGTGACATCTGATCAACTATCTGAGCAATTTCAAATACCTGAAAAATACAAAGCAAATGCATCAAATATCATTGTGTATAGAATGAGGTAATAAAAAGGTATCAACATCATGAATGACAAGCGTTTATATTGCGCCCTCCACGCCGGGCGGCGTCCCAGACCAAGCGAGGGAAAGGGTAAAGGTGACCATGAGCATGGTTGAAGAGGCAGGTCGTCAGGCGCAACCTGGAAATAGGGAAAGAAGGGGCAATGTGAAGAGAAAGGGAGGTAGTTCCATAGCTTTGGAGCGTAGTGGCTGAAGGCACAGCCACTGATGGTGGAGCGGAGGATTCGAGGGACAAGGAGGAGGCCGGAGCCAGTAGAGCGAAGGCAGCTGGTAGTGCTGCGAGGGGAGAGGAGGTTGGCGAGAGATGGGGGTGCCAAGGAGTGGAGGGATTTAAATACTAGAGTGAGGATCTTGAAGTCGATTCACCAATGGAGTTTGGCAAGGAGTGGGGTAATCAGGGTGTGGGGTTTAGTGCGGATGAGAATGCGGGCGGCACAATTTTGGATGAGTTGAATTTTGTGAATAGAGAGACCGGCGAGGGGGCGTTTGAGTAGTCCAGTCGAGAGGTGACAAAGGCGTGGACAAGGGTCTCGGCAGCTTGTGGAGTGAGGTAATGTGGCGGAGGTGGGTGATCAGCAGCTGGGTGGTGAGGGGGTCGAGGCAACAGGTGGTGGGTTTCATCGGGGTATTGGAGGATGAGAGGGAGGAAGGAGAGATGGGGGCAATGGAATGTAGGATGGGAGGCCGATGTCGGAGTTGAGGGGCGTTTGGGGGAAGGAGACAAAATGGGGGTGTGGTAGGGGACACGGTGCAGGAGGATGAGGCTGCCAAGCAGATGTTTTCTATGACTAAGCATTGAACTGTACCTGCAATACCAGAGACACCCAGAGACAAAATACCATGAATCCATCAAACACACACCATCGGTCTTTCACATAAGAATTGTCACCCTGAGGAACAAAAGCAAACAAAAGAAAAAACAACATTGAGAGAAATTACTGAGCACAGGTAATGTTCCAAACTGACCCACCATAAGTCTTTCATTCATAGGGACATTTACATTCAACATGACAACAACCATTTGCATGAATATAGCACCCTTTAAGTAGAATAATAACGTCTCAGAGCCCTTCACAGTAGCGGATTTGAAACCTTAGCTATGAGGAAGGGGGGGGGGGGGGGAGATATTTGTGAGCTAGGATTTGAAGATAGAGAAGGGTCCGGCAGAAGAATAAAGGCAGAGAGCTCTAGGGTCAGGTGGGGTGAGTGTGGGGGCCGGGGGAGTGGTAATTACTGAGGCTCAACTACCAATGGTGGTGTGAAAGGGGCAGGAGACATGCCACAGACCTGTGTTAGCTGAGTGGAGGGGAAGGGCAAAGGTGTAGGCTATGAGGAGATCAGAAATAGGAACCTCCTAGGGTGCGAAGGGATTTATATGGGAAGGTGAAGACCTTAAAGCTCATCCAAAAAACATAAGACAGCCTAATTCATTATTTCATACAAAAAATGTTTGGATGCAACAACAATCCTTACATTTGATAGCACCTTTCATGTTGGGAGAAAGTGCTTCACAGTGTATACTGTAAAGTGGAATGATTATTGTATGAGTTGGGTACCATTCTTGCCTTCAGAAGGTTGTGAGTCAGAAGGTTGTGGGTTCAAGCCCCAAAGCAGGACTTGGAACTCATAGTCTAATCTCGCAGTCCAATGCAGTGCTTGTGCGTGCTGCAACAACAATTTACACTTATATAGCGCCCTCCACGCAGGGTAGTGTCTCAGGGCGCATGGCAGTGACGGAGCCTGACTCCAAGCTGGGTGGCGGTGGTGACCGTAAGCACAGTCGAAAAGAAAGGTTTTCAGGTGGGATTTGAAGAAGGGGAGAGGGGGTAAGGTAGAGGGATTGAGTGAGTGTTCCAGAGTTTTGGGTCGTAGTGGATGGGTCGGAGGGTGCGAGGGACGAGCAGGAGGCCGATGCTAGTCGACCGGAGACGCCCGGTGATGGATTGGGAGTGAGCAGGTCGGAGAAGTAGGGAGGTGCCAGACAGTGAAGGGATTTGAACTTGAAGGTGCGAGGGACGAGCAGGAGGCCGATGCTAGTCGACCGGAGACGCCCAGTGATGGATTGGGGAGTGAGCAGGTCGGAGAGGTATGGAGGTGCCAGACAGTGAAGGGGTTTGAACATGAGTGTGAGGACTATGAGTTTGATATGTTCGGTGATGGGGAGCCAGTGGAGCCTGGCCAGAACTGGTGAGATGTGGTTACGGAGTTTGGTCCGGGTCAGTACACGGGCAGCAGAGTTCTGAATGAACTGGATCTTTTGAACAGTGGAGCTGGGGAGACCGGTGAGGGGTGCGTTTCAGTAATCCAGGTGGGAGGTGACGCATGCATGCACAAGAGTTTCGGCTGCAATTGGGGTAAGGTACGGTCTGAGGCGGGCAATGTGGTGGAGGTGAAAGAAGGTGGTCCTAGTCAGGGACTGGATGTGGGGGAGGAAGGGGAGCTGGGGGTCAAACTGGATGCCTAGATTGCTCACTGGTTCTGTGAGTGTGAGGAAGAGCTCAGGGAGGTTGAGGAGTTCAGATCCGCAGGAGTGAAGACTTTGACGGGAGCCAAGGAGTATGACTTCCATCTTGTCCACATTCAGCCACAGGAAGTTTGTACTCAACCAGGCCCTGATGTCTGCCAGACAATCTGATAGAACATTGGCAGACCTGGAGTTGGTACTGGAGGAGGCAAAGTAGATTTGTGTGTCATCCACATACATGTGGAAGTTTACCCCATGTCCGCAGATGACACCGCCCAGAGGGAGCATATAGATAAGGAAAAGAATGGGGTCAAGAATGGATCCCTGGAGTACCCCACTGGTAACTGGGCAGGGTCGGGAGGTGAAATCATTTGCCGAGATGAAATGGAGGCAGTTGGTTAAGTACGACTCGAACCATGTTGAAAGGATTAAGAAACCACATTATGAAAGGATTAGAGGATAAGAGTAGGGAAGTCTTTCTGCAACTGTACAGGGCCCTGGTGAGACCTCACCGGAATACTGTGCCCAGTTTTGGTCTCCTCGTTTAAGGAAGGATGTACTTGCTTTGGAGGGGGTGCAGCGTAGATGTACTAGGTTAGTACCAGGGATGAAGGGGATGAGTTACGAGGATAGGCTGACCAATTTGGGCCTATATTCTCTAGAATATAGAAGAATTAGAGGGGATCTTATAGAAACTTATAAGATCATCAAAGGGCATGAAAGAGTAGATAGTGGGAGATTGTTTCTCCTGGTTGGAGAAACTAAAACCAGGGGTCCACAACCTTAAAATCAGAGGCCACCCTTTTGCACTGAGTTGAGGAAGAACTTCTTCACTCAAAGGGTGGTGAATGTATGGAACTGTTGACGCTCAGTCCTTGAACATATTCAAGACTGAGATGGGTATGTTTCTTATTGCAAAGGGGATTAAGGGATATGGGGATAAGGCAGGGTTAGGTTATTAGTTGGAGTTAGAATAGAAGATCAGCCATGATTGAATGGCAGGGCAGGCCCGAAGAGCCGAATAGCCTACTCCTGCTCCTATATGTTATGTTATCAGTCCGGTCCCACTAAGGTGGATGAGGGAGGAGAGGTGGTAGGGGAGGATGGCATGGTCGACTGTGTCAAACAAGGCAGAGAGATCCAGGAGGATGAAGAGGCAAAGGGACCTCTGGTCACAGTTAAAGAGGATATTGTTTGTGACTTTGACAAGTGCTGTCTCTGTGCTGTGGGCAGAGCGAATACCAGACTGCAGGGGCTCAAGGAGGGGTAATGGAGAGAGAGGGGTGACCGAAATTGACCTGCAACAATACATTCTGGGACTTTGGCAAGGAAGGGTAGGTTGGAAAAGGGACGGTAGCATGAGAGATTAGAGGCTGTAATGTTGGAGATGCCATCCTTTTCGGATATGATGTAAAACTCCGTCTGCCTATTCAGGTGGACGTTAAAGATCCCACATTTCTATTCAAAAAGAGAATGCCTAGTATCCTGCCCAATAATTCCAGCCCCCCACCCCCAATACAATTGGTCATTCACTTCATGGCTGTTTGTCGACCTTGCTGTAAATTGGTCACCGTGTTCGCCTAGAAATACAGTCATTACACTTTGCAGTATATCCTGTGAAGCGCAGTGAGATGTCCTCCCGACGTGAAAGGGCTATACTAAATGTAAAGATCATTATTAATGGAAGTCCATGAGAAGGTAGAATGAACTCTTTCTGATCTTCACTTCTATTTTGCAAGAAAATATCTGGCTTTGGTATGGTACCTTCCCTCTGCATCTATTCTGTGTAATTAAGTGATGTTAAACATCATGATGTTAAACAGGATGCATGTGAATGATTCATATGAATTACATGAGGTATCATGCTCTAGGATCATGTTCACTAAAATGGACTTCAATCTTAATAGAACAAGTATTCAAAACCAAATATTAGCTGACTGCGTGCTCCAAGTTAGCAATAAAAAGTTACATTCATAACTTCTCCTATTTTTTATTTATTCCAACTGCCTACACAGCATCTCAAAACATGGCACTTGAGGCAGCTGACACAAGACTGTTGAAGCCTTAAAAGAAATGTAAAGATGCAGTAGAGTATATGTTGTATCTGTCACTATGATAGTAACTACAAAACTTTTGGGAAACCAGTGGATGAAATATGTGATCTGAACTTGTAATAAAAAAATCTTTGAGCCCAAACAATTACACTGAAAAAAATTTCTAACCCATTTATCATAAGTCAATAATATAACATGTATATGAAAGTATATGTTGTTATCGAATCGGTTTCCATCACCTTTTCAGGCAATGCATTCCAGATCCAAACAACTCACAGTGTGAAAAAATTTCTCCTCATCTCCCGTTTCTTTTAACAACTATTTTAAATCGGTGTCCTTGGGTTACCAACCCACCCACTAGTGGAAATAGTTTCTCCTGTTTCACCCTATCGAATCCCCTCATAATTTTGAAAACTTCTATTAAATCTCCTTTTAACCTTCTCTGCTCCGAGGAGAATAATCCTAGCTTCTCTAGCCTCTCCTGATAACTGAAGTCCCTCATTCCTGGTACCATACTGGTAAATCTTCTTTGCACCCTCTCCAATGCCTTGACATCCTTCCTAAAGTGTGGGGCCCAGAACTGAACACAGTACTCCAGCTGAGGCCTCACTAGTGGTTTATAAAGGTTCATCATAACTTCCTGACTTTTGTATTCAATGCTCCTATTTATATGCCCCTATCCACATGTATGCGGATGACACCCAACTCTACCTTTCCTCCTCTACCCTCAACTCCACGACCACCGATGTCCTGACAGCCTGCCTGTCCGACATCGAGTCCTGGACGAGAGACAACTTTTTTCAGCTCAATGTGCGCAAAACCGAGGCCCTCCTGATTGGCTCACGTCAGCGCCTCCGCACCTCAGGCGCTGACAGCATCAGCATTCAAGGCTGCACTCTCCACCTCTCAAAGCCGGTCAGGAACCTCGGGGTTCTGTTCGACCCTGAGCTGTCCTTTCTCCCTCACATCCGCACCACAACTGGCACCGCCTTCCATCACCTCCGGAACATCGCCAGACTACGGCACTACCTCACTCCTCACGCTGCTGAAACTCTGGTCCACGCCTTTATCACCTCAAGGCTGGACTATGGGAACTCTCTCCTCGCCGGCCTTCCCGCCACCTCCCTCCACAAGCTGCAGGTCATTCAGAACTCTGCAGCTCGTGTACTGTCCCGCACCAGGCTTCGGGCCCACATCACTCCCACCCTCGCTCGCCTCCACTGGCTCCCCATCCCCCAGAGGATCGAATTCAAGATCCTCATCTTCACCTATAAGGCCATCCACGGCCTTGCACCCTCCTACCTCTCCGACCTACTATCCCCCTACCTACCTGCCCGTACCCTCCGTTCCTCCGGCTCCGGTCTGCTCCACA